GGTCCTTGTCTACCACCTTCTTTTTTCGTGTTAGTCATATTAAATAGACCTAAAGTGGTCACTTTGGCGGACTTGTACTGCCACCCGGCAATCAGTACCTTAATGCGTGTACAATCATTTGAACGGGAAGAAGTTGTATACTGGATACAACAACTTCCGGGACAAGCATTTGCCACGGCCCCGCTCAGTAGAGGCTGTTATGAAATTGGTAGTAAAAATTGTGAACAAGATTAGAGGTCAAGCGTTATAAAGAAGATTATTCAAAATCTTGGCCGATGAAATTGACTGTCAATACGGGGAACTACTTCTTAACTCTGTTGTCCGATGGTTAAGTAGGGGACGAGTGCTGAAATGTTTTAATAATATCATATTTGCCATAGTTCAATTTTTCAAACAACGTAATGAACCTATTCCGGAACTTTAAAATTCAATCCGGCTTAGAGATTTTATTTTTCGTGTGGATATTACAAAAATATTAAATAAACTTAATTTGCAGCTTCAGGGGAGAGACAAAAGAACTAGCAGAAATGATTGCTGATATAAAAGCGTTTATCAACAAGCTTGAGTTTTCGAAACAAAACTTGATCGATGGCGATACCATGCATTTCCCTGTTCTTTCAAAAAAGATATTTCAAAGTTATAACTAACAAGTTATAACTTCAAAAATCATTTCAAGGATTTCAACGAAATTGATATAGTGGCGCAATTTGATGTTTCACCCTTCATGGAAATTGATATCCAACAGTTTGCAACTTCTGTTACGCAGAATTTTAGCGGAGACATCGCTGCGACTGAAATGGATGTGATTGAGTTTCAAAATAATTTAGGTTTAAAATCATTGTCCCAAATACAAAATGTGCCTGGCCTTCGGTAAGTAAAGATAAATATTCAGTTTCATGTCGTGTTGCCTTGAAAGTGAAAGCGTTATTCAGTTCAACCTCTTTATGTGAATCTTATTTTTTAAATATGAAGTTCATTAGAAACAAATACCGTTATCCACTCGACTTACAGATGGACATTTGGATAATTGTATTGGAATGGCGGTATCAAATTATAGGTACTCCAAACATTAAAGAAATTCTCAGTGAGTCTGAGTCAGGCTTATCATTGAACACGCATTTTTTATCCGGACATGTTATTGTTTAAAATAGTTTGTTGCTTTTTTTATTCTTAGTTACCTTTATATATATATATAAAAAGTTAGTTTATTAACACCTACGATTGATAGGAATGGATGTATACTAAGTGACATATAAATCCAAACACCTAGTTTAAATGGTTTTATTTTAATAAAAGTTGGTGAATGTATTTATCTTACTGTAAATAACAAGTGAAAAATTTTTCAGCCTTATCAGTTGGACATTCCGGTTTTTATACTGCTTTTTTTTAATTCACTAACGCTCTAAAAATGAATATTTCAGCCGCAGTAAAGAATCAACGTTGGCGGGTTTTGGTTCTTGACATCCTTTACGATCGGTTACGATGCCTAGAGTACGGAGACCTGTACGATTTCGTCAATTTAGTGAGTTTCATAGGGGCAGTATAGTGGGACTTCGGGAAGCTGGACTTTCTTTTCGGGCAATTGCAGTTAGAGCGCAAAGAAGTGTAGACACTGTGGTTAGGTGTTGTCAGGCATGGCTTCGAGAAGGCCGTACGCAAAGAGCAAGGGGCACTGGACGCCGCCGTAGAACAACAGACCGTGAAGATCGCCGCCTAAGATTATTGCCCTTAAGGGACCGTTTCTCCACTACCAGATCCATTGCAAATGAATGGTTTGCAGAACACGGAAGACCTATTGGCATGCGAAGTGTTTACCGACGAATGAGAAGTTTTGGCTTGTTTTCATACCGGCCACACTGGGTCCTCCCTTTAACTCGAGAACACCGACGTAATCGCCTTGAGTGGTGCAGATAACGGTCACTCTGGGATCAGGAATGGAACAGTATTGTCTTTAGTGACGAGTCTCGATTTTGTTTAGGCATGCATGATGGTTGTGCCAGGGTTAGAAGGTGACGTGGTGAAAGGAGGAATCCACAGTTTTTTGTTGAAAGACATGTTCATCACACTGTTGGAGTTATGGTTTGGGGTGCTATAGCTTATGGTTCCAGGTCACCTTTAATCTTCATCAGAGGTAACATGAACGCGCAGCGTTATATCCACGAAGTTCTAGAACCCCATCTTTTACCTTATCTTGACACACTGGCAGATCCAACTTTCCAACAAGATAATGCCCGACCACATGTTGCAAGAGTCACAATAGACTTCTTTCAACATAATGATGTCACATTGTTACCATGGCCACCAAGATCTCCCGACTTATCCCCAATTGAGCACGTGTGGGATATGATGGGTAGAAGATTGCTCAATTTGCAACGTCCTCCTCAGACTCTAGAAGCACTTCGAGAGGAGTTGGTGGTTGCCTGGAATGAGATACCACAGGAGGACATTGACCACCTGATCAGAAGCATGCCTAGGCGCGTTGGAGAATGCGTAGCACATCAGGGTGCATCCACACATTATTAAAGGTCAAAGGGCTTTAAAGCAGTGCAATCATTTTGAAATTTTTCTCATTTACTTATTATGCTTCATTAAGTACTTATACAAAATTTCATTAAAATAAAACCATTTAAACTGGGTGTTCGGATTTATATGTCACTTAGTATAGTTATGTAGTGTGTATTAGTTATTAGTTTATTTTAGTTTATTATTATGTATTAGTATTAGTAAAGTAAACACATATATGTCCCATACAATTGTGTATAATTTCATTTAAGTTGGCTTGCATTGCTTACGACTAGGTAAACTCACAATCAAAGTAGCTCAACACACTGAGAAGGCGGGCGACCACTGCCTTAGAACAAGAGCACAGGAAACTAACGGGTCACAAATGACTGTGAGTAGTTGGATTCTAGACTTTGGCTGAAGGGATGATATAATAGCTTCCTTCCAAGCTTCAGGAAAAGTCCCGCTCTCAAGGCACATACTAACAATATGTGTTAAATACAATAAAATTTCAGGTGAGCAGTCGAAGACACCTTAAATAATTGGAATAAAATCAACAAGACCACATTACCGGTATAGTCCAATTATCCACTAGTGTATTGAAGCATGGCAAACAGAAGTGGACGGCTGATTGCAGGCGACCGGTCAGAATATTAAGTTGCCCGATAGAGGAACTCCAAGGTTATTCCCGCTATCACCTAGTCAACCCAGCCGTCATTTTCAATTAAGTTAACTACTAAGCCCTAGCTTAGGTCGTGCGTTCTGCTCTCCTCAGTTATGGAGATAGAATGCTTGATAAAGTCAGTCCTTTCGTCTCTTTAGACAGATAATAAACTTTTGAGGATAAGCTACTTAACGACTAGTGGTATTATAATTAAAGTCGATACTAAATATCTTATAAGCTCTGTTATCGTAATAAGAGGATTATCAAAGTAAAATTAAGGTCAATAAAGAACCACGCAATTTCTTTGTGGAAATTGGACTTCGCTTGAATCTCTGATCCGCTGAATATTTTACTGTCCTGGACAAATGTCTCAATGGGTACAACATAATTTGTGAGATAAAAAAGGCTGAAGTTGAATTATCTTCGAATATAAAGTATACAGCACATTCGCCTTTTTTGACGTCAAGGTCGACCAAAGATGATCGGGGACTCGAAAAAGAACGAGGTTTAGAAGTAACTTTGCAACAATTTTTATGACACAAATAACCTTTTACCTGGCATTAGAATATTTTCGCTAAAATCATAACTGGCACAGTCACAAGACAATAATAGCTTACATCAGGTACTTATCAGATTCCTCGTGTAGCTGATTTACTTTTCGAATTCATTTCGAGCAAATAATTCTAAGATTTTACAAAATACCAAGATATTTGTGTGTGTGTATATTAGCATTGTGTCACGGCTCTTTTATAAATAAGAGAAAATGGTGGTGTGATTCTTCTTTCCTTTTTTATAATTTAATGAATTAATAAAACACTATAAATGAAATCTAAGGATCGGTCAATTCAAACAGCTGTCAAGTGTCGGGTAAATTTAGTAATGATGAAACCTAATTAATTGTACCTAGAGAGCCAAATAAAACAAGATATTAAAAAAAAGAATCACAATTTATTATCAAAATAAGCAGAACAAGTGCTCCACCACTGGAATACAAGTTGAAAGAAAGGATATTATTCAAAACTACCTGACAATAAAATTATTACACAGTAATAATTGAGGGGCCTGGAAGTAAAAGGGGTTAAGTACATTTTTAGTAGTTCTGAGATAAATGGCTTCAAAGTTAACTTGAATTTGGAAATTCCAGGAATAAATTTATCAAAGTATGATACTATATTAAGTTTATTTAAATGCCAATAAAACATTACAAACAAAAAACGTTTTCTTAATTTTGCTTTTTTATTGTCATTTTTGCAAAAATGTACTTGAATCATTACACATGTTACAAAAATTATGGTAGTAACATGATTGAAGTGCAACTACCGTACTAAACCAAACATTATTTAAAAATAATCTATAACAAAATTTCTTATTCACAATCAGAATCTAATATTTGGATGTCTTCATCATTTTATTCATCTGAATCAACTGGTCTTGGTTGGGGTTCATCTATATCAGGTACTTTTGGCTTGATGTCAGGGTCTGTGATTGTTTCTTTTTTCCTCGCTTTTTTATAAAATGTATGGTGAATGGGCGGAATGTATTCCAAAAAGCTAAGCAAGTATTTGTACTAGGCGACTTTAATCTTTATTGAAGTGCCATTCAAAGGCTTTAGTATTGAAAAGTTAAAACACCGCCGCCCAACTTTTGAGGTTGCCATTAAGCAACTGCTAAACTCTACATCAATGTTTAGGGTACTCTTGTATCGAAATGTTAGTCTTTCACTTTTATAGTAAGCAAACTAGCAAATTTCTTTCCATTTTAAGGGGTAACCGTCACTATTTTTTGGATCGTTCATAATTTCATTGAACGGCGATAAAGAGTAAAAATCGTCCTTGTTCATATTGTACGCAATAAATTTGGCCGATGTGCTCTTATTACAGTCTCCCAATCTGCGGGGACAAAAACATGAGGGATTTGCCTTTTATTCTTCTCGATTAAGCCAAAACAACTTTCACATTCCATGTAAGTGTGCCCGGGTTCAAGGAACTTGTGATGAATCTCAGATATATGTGTAGCTTGAACAATAAAACTAAATAGTTTAGCAATGTTTTTATTCTTATTCTGTCCTCCACACGAATCACTGTATGCAATAATCTTCGTAACTGTAGATGGAAGGCTTTACACAAATTTTATTAAACATGATCCTATCTCCTGTGAGCCCCTGGATGCAATAGTTTCGTTCCATACATACATATAACTTTTCCCAGTCAGTAAGTCAAAGACACAGAAATTATAGGTCCATAATTGACGAAGATAAAATACTTTAGAGGTGGTTAACAATGGCGTCGGCAATGCCTGTTGCAAATCAAAACAAATTACAGCCGTATTTTTAGAATCATTTTTATTTTCAGCAATATCAGCTTTTTGGCATCTGTTGCTTTCTGGGCGTTTCTTTGGTGCAGCTCGAGGTCTTGCTTGGCATTTTTAATTACGTCTTCATTTGTCGAATATTTTATTAAATTTTGTAAATTGTCACAACGACTGCAGGTATCACTATAGGGCTTGTGGAATCTTAAATTAAATGCCGTATTGAAAATATGCCTGTAATAGGACTCTTTTACTGGTAATTCTTGTTTGTCAATACAAAACTCCTGATATAATTTGTACATCTTATTGATACTTAATTCTCCTGAGAGCCTTAGAAGTAAAATGGTTCAAGTTTACTTGAATCATTTTACCACATACTGTATTAGTGTATATTTTGATATGTTCTCAAAGACTATGAGAGATAGCGCCAGGGAACGTTGCCTGCATTTAAATCATTTTACCGCCAAGTTAGGATATGCTTTAGGTATGATATTCTGCACTTAGACCATTTAATGAAAAAAGTGCACTTGAACCTTTTTACTTCCAAACCCCTCAATTAACCTCGTTAAACGCTTACCATGGTACAAATATCTTAACGCCTAAACCTAAACTTATCTGGATAATGGCCTTCTTCTAGTCACAGCTCCAGGTGTAGGTGTGATGTTCTCAGCTCTCAAAAACTCAGGTCAAAAACCAGTAGCCAGCAGTGAGCAGTGACGTAAGGAACGTCTCAAGGTAGAGGCTGCTTGCCTCGTTTCCAAATTTTACGCTATAAAAATACCCTGTAGAGAGAGAAAGACTATTTAAAAAACTACTCTCTACTCTATGTCTGAGACAGAACGCACATTTAAATACTCAAACTTGAAGAAAAATCCATGTACATTCTCTGCTACTAGAAAATTACTTTACTTTCTGCAGGGGCAAGAAAAGATAAAAATATACCAAAGTGATATACCCTCAGAAAGTTATCCCTTGTTCTAAAATAAGATATGGCAGCTCAAAATTCAAAATCATGATTGATGTAATGTAAACGGCCCAAAAGACAGTGACATGTAGGCACTAGCATATATTTGAATACGTAAAATGCCAAACCAAATCAAGAACACTAAGAATTTCAGTCAGCAACAATCAATATATCAATATCTATAAAATACCCAATTAAAATGATGTTTTACCTGTTCACACCAGGGTTTTTTTGTCAAATGGAAGGGATGGCTTCCAGCAAAATCGGCTGCGAAACAGCTACAAGGCAGTTACAAGACAAAGCTGGAGGAGTGTGAATGGTGATTCTCCGCAATGGCTTTCCACTAAAAGGAAGCAGATATTGAACAAACTTCTTCAGGACAATCATTAATAGACATAGTCCGATGGTATACAAAAGAGAATTTACCGCTGGAGGTTAAATTCCCACTAAAAAATCGACGGGTAGTACCCTAATCAACACAACTAAACGTAAGGTACAAAATAGAAGGGTACTACTATATAAACTGGTTTTTGGGGCGTTAATATCCCAAAATCTGGAAGTTAACGAAAAAAACGCCCTCACACAACCAAAGCTACAGCAGACAGAAAAGAAAAATGGCGCTGGACCATCATCGCACGAAACCTCCTAAAAGAAGATTAAATGAGAGTCTCTGAAGAAGGCGCGTTCGACAGAAAATCAAAAGGAACAGAGAAAAGCCGGTGAAGAAGGTATCTTGATAGTAAATCAAATTTTAACAGAAGGTATCTTGATAGGAAGGTAAACATTCATATACGGCTAGTACATGTAGGAAGCACAAGGTGGCGCGCTGCTCAACTCTGTTTACGAGAGTCCAATGATATTTAATAAGAAAATGTCAAAAATAGTCGTTAATAATACTATAACATTAATGTCGCTGAGAATGACAGATATAATACGTGAGAAATTATGTAATCAATAACAATGGAATTTGCCAAAAGAAAATCATTAAAAAGGGTTTTGTATCTAGGAATCGGTACTCTATAATCAACAAAGAGAAATTCAAATTACTGATGAGAGTGATCAAGATAGTAAAAAAAAAGGTTACGTGATTTTGGCACGTCACAATTGATCAGCCTATTTTCCATGTACATATCAAACCATGTGCTGTATTTGGACGTTCACACACAGTTTACATCGTAACAGCCATATTTCCTAGCAACATATGTTTTGGACCTTTTTCGAGTTCCTCTCTCTGGTCGAGGGTGTACTTCTCCTCAAAATAATGGAGAATGTGCTATGCACTTTATAATCTAAGATAATTCAACTTTAGCGATTTTTATATCGCAGCCCTTAGGGGTTTGGAGGCTGTGCCCATTGAGCCATTTGTTCAGAACGGTGAGATATGCAACACGTCAGATATTCAAGCAATTTAACGGAAGTTTGATACGATGCATAATAACAAAGGTTGTATTCCACGTCAAATAGTTTAGGATCCTATACATTTTTCCAAAATTTAAATTCTAGTAAAAAATATTGCAAAGGACCCCTCCAAAAACATAAAGGATGTTTGGGAGGTCGATACAACGTCTTGGGGAGGTGGTAGGGCAGACTATTTAGAATCTCTTAAGGAAAAAATACCTTAGTTCAAAGTCTTACGGTTTTCGAGTTATTCGAGATTTTCGATTTTTATTGACCGAATATCAGGCTATATGAAATAGTTTTTAAATACCTGACAGAGTGGTTCTTTTCTCTGAAGGTAGAGAAAAGAAAAACAAATTAACTGTAAACAAATAATAAATACATGTTTTCCTATTTTTGTTATACTCATATGAAGGAACGTTTTTGAGTGCATGATAAAACTAAATTCCACACATTCTTGCTTTATTCCTCTCCAAACAAGTCCATAGTAAGTTATATCACTCCAAAAACCCTGAATTAAATAGTTTCTAAAATGTAGGCTTTCACTAACGAAGAATACGCAGATATCGTTTACATGTAATATGGCAGAGCAGATGGTAGGCACTAGCATATATTTGAATACGTAAAATGCCAAACCAAATCAAGAACACTAAGAATTTCAGTCAGCAACAATCAATATATCAATATCTATAAAATACCCAATTAAAATGATGTTTTACCTGTTCACACCAGGGTTTTTTTGTCAAATGGAAGGGATGGCTTCCAGCAAAATCGGCTGCGAAACAGCTACAAGGCAGTTACAAGACAAAGCTGGAGGAGTGTGAATGGTGATTCTCCGCAATGGCTTTCCACTAAAAGGAAGCAGATATTGAACAAACTTCTTCAGGACAATCATTAATAGACATAGTCCGATGGTATACAAAAGAGAATTTACCGCTGGAGGTTAAATTCCCACTAAAAAATCGACGGGTAGTACCCTAATCAACACAACTAAACGTAAGGTACAAAATAGAAGGGTACTACTATATAAACTGGTTTTTGGGGCGTTAATATCCCAAAATCTGGAAGTTAACGAAAAAAACGCCCTCACACAACCAAAGCTACAGCAGACAGAAAAAGAAAAATGGCGCTGGACCATCATCGCACGAAACCTCCTAAAAGAAGATTAAATGAGAGTCTCTGAAGAAGGCGCGTTCGACAGAAAATCAAAAGGAACAGAGAAAAGCCGGTGAAGAAGGTATCTTGATAGTAAATCAAATTTTAACAGAAGGTATCTTGATAGGAAGGTAAACATTCATATACGGCTAGTACATGTAGGAAGCACAAGGTGGCGCGCTGCTCAACTCTGTTTACGAGAGTCCAATGATATTTAATAAGAAAATGTCAAAAATAGTCGTTAATAATACTATAACATTAATGTCGCTGAGAATGACAGATATAATACGTGAGAAATTATGTAATCAATAAACAATGGAATTTGCCAAAAGAAAATCATTAAAAAGGGTTTTGTATCTAGGAATCGGTACTCTATAATCAACAAAGAGAAATTCAAATTACTGATGAGAGTGATCAAGATAGTAAAAAAAAAGGTTACGTGATTTTGGCACGTCACAATTGATCAGCCTATTTTCCATGTACATATCAAACCATGTGCTGTATTTGGACGTTCACACACAGTTTACATCGTAACAGCCATATTTCCTAGCAACATATGTTTTGGACCTTTTTCGAGTTCCTCTCTCTGGTCGAGGGTGTACTTCTCCTCAAAATAATGGAGAATGTGCTATGCACTTTATAATCTAAGATAATTCAACTTTAGCGATTTTTATATCGCAGCCCTTAGGGGTTTGGAGGCTGTGCCCATTGAGCCATTTGTTCAGAACGGTGAGATATGCAACACGTCAGATATTCAAGCAATTTAACGGAAGTTTGATACGATGCATAATAACAAAGGTTGTATTCCACGTCAAATAGTTTAGGATCCTATACATTTTTCCAAAATTTAAATTCTAGTAAAAAATATTGCAAAGGACCCCTCCAAAAACATAAAGGATGTTTGGGAGGTCGATACAACGTCTTGGGGAGGTGGTAGGGCAGACTATTTAGAATCTCTTAAGGAAAAAATACCTTAGTTCAAAGTCTTACGGTTTTCGAGTTATTCGAGATTTTCGATTTTTATTGACCGAATATCAGGCTATATGAAATAGTTTTTAAATACCTGACAGAGTGGTTCTTTTCTCTGAAGGTAGAGAAAAGAAAAACAAATTAACTGTAAACAAATAATAAATACATGTTTTCCTATTTTTGTTATACTCATATGAAGGAACGTTTTTGAGTGCATGATAAAACTAAATTCCACACATTCTTGCTTTATTCCTCTCCAAACAAGTCCATAGTAAGTTATATCACTCCAAAAACCCTGAATTAAATAGTTTCTAAAATGTAGGCTTTCACTAACGAAGAATACGCAGATATCGTTTACATGTAATATGGCAGAGCAGATGGTAATGGACTAGAAGTACGACAGTTGTACCAAGAGCGATTTCCTGGGAGATGATTGCCTAATGTCAGAGTACTTACCGACGTCTTTACGAGACTGGAAGTGTAACACGTAATGAACCTGGTGTTAATTCAGGTCGATATCCTCCTGAAGCCGAAGATCTAATCCTCCAAGCGTTTGAAGAGGATCCCACTACAAGTACTAGGAAAGTTGCTGCTGATCTTGGTTTGTCGCAATGGAACGTTTGGAGTATCATGCACGGTGAACGAAAATATCCTTTTCATGGTATAAGCGTACAAGGACTTGAAGATGGTGATACTATTCGCAGAAGCCAATTTTGTCGTTTTCTCTTACATAGTGACATTGAGAATGAACGGTTCCTGGAGAGCATTCTATGGACGGACGAATCCAATTTTTCAAAGGAGGGCATTACAAATTTTCACAATTTGCATCGATGGTCTGATAAGCAGAAAAATCCACACTGGAAAAACAGGTGTCTTTTAATATTAATCGGTCCTCATTATTTGCCTGAAAGATTAAACGGCGACAGTTATCTACTTTCTTTGCAAAATGACTTCCCGAATTACTTGTAGGAGTAGAAATTCCAGATGACATGCAAATTGGTTTCCATCACGACGGATGTCCAGCTAATTTCCGTTTAGACGTAAGACAATATTTGGACGATACTTTTCCAAATAGCTGGACAGGCAGAGGTGGACATATTCCGTGGCCTATTAGATCCCCGGACTTGACACCATTAGATTTCTATATCTGAGGGCGGGATAAACAGCTAGATTATATTGAAGAAATCGTATCAAGAGACCATTTAATAAGAAAAATTCGAGAAGCTTTTTATTTAATGCAGCAAGACAGGTTA